TTTTTCAAACAAAAGCACTCCTAAGAGTGGCGCTGTTTTACATATTTGTAGATCTCTTTAGTGCCTGGCTTCCGAAAAGGCAGCTAGATTTTTATGCCTACTTCTGCATTCAATCCAAGTTGCCATGTCACGGTTCACAGAGCCTCTGGAAAACACCACTGTATACTCATGAGACAATGAGAATGTAAACAGGCCAATGACATCTTAGTATTATCACAAAAAAGTTTTAATTTCATGGACGCATCCCAGAAAGTGTCACTATGTATGTCATCCATACTGAAATAAAGGGTTCGGAATAGTACTATCCACAAGGTAATTTCTTAATGCACATTGAATTCTCTTTTCCTTTTATTTTTAGCCTCAGTGTTGTTAAAACATGAACACATTAAGGCAAACCCTTCTTCAGGTCATTGTAATAGTATAATACCTCGCATGGTGTCACTTGTAGAGAGGTGGCCAGCAAATGTTACTATCGTTGCTCAGATGGCTCTATAATTAATTAGCTGTGTGACTGTCAGCCAAGGATTCTTAATCTATATTCAAATTCAGAGGATCCATGAACATGAATAGGAAAAAAGTTACATCTCTATTTTCTGACACTCAGCATTTACTTAAATTACTTAAATTAGGCAATAAACCACATTTGAACTAATAGCACCTGAGATATTGTCACCATTAGAAACCACAGGTATTTTCATATCATAGTAAGGTTATTGCAAATATCCTGAACAATCAATCATATATGCTCATCACCAATTCAAAATGATGGTAGTTATTAGATCTGTCACTAGATCTTGTTGTTGGATGCATTAATAAAGTACATATATTACAATATACAAATTTTGAAAAATATCTTGACATCTGCATTTCAATACAATTGGTTTCATTTCCAGTCTTTTGTATTTTACTTTATGCATTTAAAAGCATTCTGAGAAAGGAGTCCACCGGCTTACCAAACTGCCAAAGGGGTTCATGCAGCCAAAAAGAGCAAGAACCCTTGGTGTTAAGCAATTCATTTTACCTCTGGAGGCACCAAGTTCCTCTTTTGAAAAGGAAATTGGACTAGTGAGTCTCTGAGAAACCCTCCCGGCTCTACCTCTGCAGCTATAGTGTACGGAATATGCTGTTCACAGTGAAGAAGTAGTGGATGGGAAGTAACACACACCTGAATGCATTAACAAGGGGAGAGTCTGGAGTCAGTCTTAAATCAGCATCAAGGACATACTCTATGCAGTTAAATGCTTTGGGGCTAATTAGGCCTGGCACAAACAGTTGTGAGCTAACACTTGCGAGCTAAACAGTTGAAGAGCTAACAGTGAAAGCAAATATTTCCCAAAACTACCTTTTATCACATCATAAAAATATATGTATGCAATTGCAAATCTCAACATGCAATAATGAATGACTTTGCAGAAAATCCATAATTAACCTAATCCAGGGCTGTTCTTAACATTAATGGCTTGTGTAGAAACAGGCTTAAAAATAAATGTTTTGATAATCACAGGAGTATTCTGAGTATTTATCACTGTTTGCTTAAAATCTACATAAATGTGTTTCATACCTTCATATCCTCAACGAGGAAAACAGAAAAAAAGAAAGGAAAGGAGAGAAACAAGGACAACAAGAAAGAAAAAAGAAGGAAGAAAGAAAAACAAATTTTCTGCCAGGTGCGGTGGCTCACGCCTGTACACTTGTAATCCTAGCACTCCGTAAGGCCAAGGCAAGTGGATTATTTGAGCTCAGGAGTTCGAGACAAGCTTGAGCAAGAGCGAGATCCCATCTCTACTAAAAATAGAAAGAAATTATTTTGACAGCTAAAAATATATAGAAAAAATTAGCCGAGCATAATGGCACATGCCTGTAATCCCAGCTACCTGGGAGGCTGACGCAGAAGGATCACCTGAGTCCATGAGTTTGAGGTTGCTGAGAGCTAGGCTGACGTCACTATACTCCACCCAGGGCAACAGAGTGAGACTGTCTCAAAAAAAAAAAAAAAAAAAAAAAACAAAAAAAAAAAAAACAAAGAAAAACAAGTTTTCCAGGGTTCTAGGAAAGAGCACTTGTCCTAAGCCCTTAGCACTTCACACTGGGAGACTAAAGGGCCATAGTTCAAAGATCTATCAGTCACCACACTTGATAACACAGATAATACACACAGGCCATTTAGGCCCACTTAATGCTAGAGATTGGGCCAACAATGCTACGTTTAAGAACTAAGAAAGCCCAGACAGACTGCATTTCAGTCCCTGCAGAAAAATCTAGGTTATGTCAGGCACAGCCAACAGAGGCACCTAGATAAAATGAGGCAGGAACGACTGAGAGCTTCTCCAGGAACAACTCAAACTGAGACCACAGCTCTGCAGAGGCAAACTCCTCTGAGAGCACAACACACAAAACCACGGCCAGCTCTGAGGCATCAAAATGCTCCCAAGTGGCTTTTCTACAGTTTCCTTCACCCAGAAACCAAATCTGACCCGCAGACACTCCAACAAGCCAATGTTCCCAATTATACTTAAAAAGGACTGTCTATTCCACTCTTGTTCTCTCTGCAGAATATCTCTTTTTTTTTTTCACCTGCAGACATAACGACAGACTGGAGGCTCGCACTTCCTTCATCTGACCAAACAAAATGAAACTCATGTTGGGGTGAATGAGATGCTAAAAGCCTAATGGAAAAAAAAAAACTGTATTACATCACGAGAGAAATTAGCTTAGACTGCTTTGGAATGGCGCCCCAACATCAAGAACAAGCAGTTACTGAACACACTGAGATACGTACCTGGTAGACCTCTTGAGTGATAGAAACACAAAACCGCAACTTTCTGACTCACGGAAGCCAAGGCTGGCACGAGGCAGAATTGCAAAGACGACGCAGGAAGGTTTGGGAAGGTCTGGCAGATAGTGAATTTGGAGGAGGCTGGAGGAATGGATTTGAGCCCTCAGGGAAAGACAAGACTGTCCCCTGCAGAGTTGGGAGGGCACTTGGCAAGAGACAAGCACAATGGAGCAAAGTCCCAAAGGAGGGACTCTTCATAGTGCACTGCACAACAGCGATTAGGGCAGTTTGCCTGCATTGGAGGGTTAATGAAAGCAGATTTGAGACAGAACACAGGTGAAGACAGGCTTGAACCAGATTACAGAAACCTTGAAATCTGGGCTCAGTTAAGACTTTTTACCTGTAGACCACGGGAGGCTTCCAAGCAAAGAGTTTCAGGATAAACAACAGAGACTTAGCTCTTCAGTTAATTTATCCTAACTATGGGTCCTTTTGTCAAATCCAGACCAATCAGAATCTTTTGTGTCTGGTGAAGTAAGCGCCCCAAATTATAACCTGGGGTCATCTAACACCTAGGCCCAAGAAATGCAATCCAAATATTTTTCTTGACTGAATCCACAGAATTGACTCCATTCAGGACAGAACACAGTAACTGATTCCAGAACAGGTACAACAACAACAAAACAATTAAAAAGAAAACATCATATTTGCTCCAGTGACTATAGCAAATGTGGAACATATTTGCATTAACTACACCAAGTCAATAGTTTTGGAAAGAGCTTTTAATTCCTCTTAAAATTAGAATTGATAACATTTTTGTAATTAGACATTGCTAAACATACTTTCACTTAGTGGTCAGTACTCCATAGTGCCCAAAAACAAAGAAATTGATTTCATCTATTTTAGAGCATTTCACTTCCCTAACTACTAGCTACTTAATTAGTTGGCACTTGATTAGGGATCACTATCCGAAGTGTTATGACTAAATCATGATGTGAGGGCCTGGGGCAGAAGAAACATCTCTACTCATTTCTGAGAGCATGGATAACTCTCATTTCTGAGAGTTTTTTGAATAGGGAAAACAAGGAATAATATCCATATGAAGGATCACAATCTAGGAATAATAAATATGAGACAGTTTTAAAAAAAAACAAAACACCTGACTCATGGCTACAGAATCGAAAAGCATCTACCCATGTTAACAGTGTCTCTGAAACTGACATTGCCCTGGGAAAACACTAAGAGGTTCAGGGGGCTGTTCCCCATGAACCAGTAAAGTGAGGAAAAACAGACACTCAGAAGGGAGTAAAGTGAAAGATTAAATTGCAAATAGGCCAAATGAATGAACCTGAGAGGAGGTGCTAAAATTCTCATCACAATCAACTCTATTTATACTAAGAAACAGCCCCCGCTAAGGGCAGAAGTCTTCCCACTAGACCTCAACAACCTCAATCTTTGATGAAAAGTGAAAGGATCCTGGTTTTCACCTGGGTCAAACCTCCTCCCATCTCCAAACCCCCAGTGTAGACTCCAAAGCGACACAACAAGCCACATCTGTGCACACCCTGGGGGCTCCCCTGCGCAGCTGTTAGGAATGCCAAGCACCCAGCCTGGGGCTCGTCTCCATTTTCTTAATTAAAATATCCTTCTTGTCCCCGATGAAACTCAGGATTCAGAAGACACGCTCCGTTGGGGGACCCGTGTCCGCACAAACAGCCCCAAGGGCCAGCCACCCCCTCCCCGTGCCACACACTTCCTGCCCCTTCCATCGCCTCCACATCACAACTTTCCCATTCAGTTGCAACGGTTCCGAGGGGTCCGGTCCCTGGAGGAGAGCGGGGGCGGTTCTCGACCCCCGACTCTCACCCGGGAGCGTCAGAGCAGACCCTCCGCAGAGGGAAGCCAGCGAGCGCCGCGACAGTGCGCGGCACCCCACGTGCCGCCCCGCCGGCCACCTACCCCTGCACGAAACCGCAGCCGGCGCGGCCCCCGGGAGCGAGGGGCGCGCTCAGTCGCCCCGAGGTTTCCACCGTGCCGGGCGCGGGAGCTCGGGATCGGCGCGGGATTGCGGTCCCGGAGCCCAAGTGCACTTTGAGCCACTCGGAGTCCCCAGCCCCGGGCGGCTTCCCCAGCGGCGCTCCCGGGGAGGGCTCCGGTCGCCGCCGGCTCCCGCGCAAGCCGGGCCGGGCGGCTCCCGCGAACTTTGCGGCGGGCGATCACTCACCAACCCCGTACTTCTGCCTCTTGGTCGGGATCCAGCGGGCCATGGCGGCGACCTCGCCCCGCGGCGGCGGCGGCGGCGGCGGCTACAGCTCCTCGGGCGCCGGCCGCCGCCGCTCCGCGCCGAAGCGCGCCCCGGGCTCCTCCGCCATGTTCCGGCAACTCCGCCGGCTGCGCGGGCCGCCTCCCGCCTGCCCGGCCCCGACTCGCTCAGGCCCGGCCCGCGCCGCCCCGCACCTGGGGCTGGGCTGCGGCCGCCCGCGCGCCCCTCCGCGCCGCCCGGCCCCTCCCGCGGCGCGCCCTCCCGCCGGCCGCTCGCGCCGCCGCCTCGGCCCCGCCCGCGTGCGCTGCTCCGCTCGCGCCGGCCGGCGAGCCGACTCCGCGGCGGGTCCGGCTCGGGCGCTCGGTTCCCCGAGCTGGTCGCCGGGAGCCGGAAAGCGCCGGGCGCCTGCCCCAGGCGGCCGGGGAGAGCCGTGCGCTCCCCGGCGCCCCGGCCGCGCGGCGCGGAGTCCGCAGGAGTTGCCCCTCGCCCGGCACCGCCGGCGCCTGGCGCTCGGCCGGCGCGCAGTAAATATTTGTTGAATGAATGAGCGTTTGCCTGCTGCGCTCACCCCCTAGAGCTTGCACGGACACCACGAGCGCCGGAAGCGACTCCAGGGCAGACGTGATCCCCTGGGGCCACCGTTTAGAGCCTTGAGAGCAGGACATTTGTCTTCTGATAAACAGAGAACTGGCGCAGGCGAGGCGCGCTCCTCACAAGTACCCAAGCGTCCCGTGGGGTAGCGGTCCCCAACCTTTTTGGCCCCGGGAACCGGTTTCATGGAAGACCGTTTTTGCACGGGAGGAAGGGGGTGGTTTCAGGACGATTCCGGCGCTTTGCATTTATCGTGCATCGAACCTCCCTGCTAATGATAACCTGTATTTGCAGCCGCGCCCCAGCGCTGGCATCACCGCCTCGGATCCTCGGGCGTTAGATTCTCATAAGGAGGCGCAACCTGGACGCCTCCATGTCCAGTTTACAGTAGGGTCCGCGCTCCCGTGTGAATCTAACGCCACCCCTGATCTGACAGGAGGTGGAGTTTATGCGGCGATGCGAGTTACAGGAGCGGCCGTGAATACAGAGGAAGCTTCCAACGGTGCCGCTCACCTCCCGCTGCGCGGCCTGGCTCCTCGTAGGCCACAGATCTATACCGATCTGAGCAAGAGAGCTGGGGACCACAGCCCTAGGGGATCCTCTGTGGGGATATTATTTAGAAAGCCCTAATTTGGAAGTGCTGTATCCCAAAACACAGGGAGCCCTCCCGAGCTGAGGAAATTCAGACCCTCATGCTCAGGGGGAAAGGCCACCCCGGACCCCCCTTTTCCAGCTGGCCGGCATCCCCGCGGAGAAAGGGGCCAGGTGCATCCCGGTGTTCTGGGTCGCGGCAGGCTGTATTTTACTGGCAACAATCCAAAAGTAGCAACTGCACATTTAAACTACCTTAGGCTCCGGGTGTCGCCCTCTCTGGGACTCCCCCCTGGACCTCTTCTTCCCCCGGGGAGACCTGGAGAAGGAAGACTGGATCTGAGCCCAGGGGGCTTCTTGCTACCTCATACCTAGAAGTAAAATCACAAGGGGAGGAAATCAGCTTCATTATGTTCTCTGAGAAAAAGCCTCTTGAGAGAAACCGTGTTGTCCTTGCAGTCTGTGGACGTTTCCTTGCCTATTTGGAAAATGAAAGAGAGGGAGACAGAATAAACATGTAGTAAACGATAGTAAAGCTTGAATGGAGAATGACATTTTAATTTTAGTGACTTTTTGCAAAGCCATACCTGAAATTAAAAAAAAAAAAAAAGTCCTATTGACGGTGGGTAACTCCTAGGCCGACTTTCTTCATCAACCAGTAGATATTTATTCACAACGTGTAATGACAGTTTTAGAAATTCTTCTGTCACTTGAGGCTTGACGTGAAGAAAGAATTCTACCATCTGCCCCCAAATAAATTCTTTTTCTCCCTCAATGACATCACGATTAACCTAATTTCCCAGGTTCTGTATATTCTTCTTCCTTCTTTACACAAATAATTAAGTGCCTACTTGTTCTAATGTAGGTGTAGCCATGAATAAAGGAAAATCCCTATCATAGAAGGGAAGAGTAAGACACAAACACATAGATGCATAGCAAATAAGGATCAGTCCTAGAGAAAATTCCAGAACAAAGAGGATAGGGTGCATGTGGGTGTGCCTGTTTTATAGACAGCGCTATGGGAAGGCAGCTCTGCTAAGGTGATATGGAGATACAGAGGTGAAGGAAGTGAAGATTCCAGGGGAAAGGATTCTGGGCAGCAGGATCAGCAAATGCAAAGGCCGAGGAGCAGGTTTGGCAGGTTCCAAAATCAGCAGGGAATCCCGGATGGTGAGAGCTAAGAGGTGAGAGGAAACTTGGTCCAGGAGGCAAGGGGTGGCTGGATAAAGAGAACCGTGGCAGGCATAAGGACTTCATATATTACTATGGCAAGGGAGGGATGGGGCCTTTGAGCCAACCAGGGGCAAGACTGAACTCACCTGCTGTGGCATGAAGCCACCGGAAAGGGGCAAGGGAAGCCACGTGGATGGCAGGAAGGCTATTTCAGTTGTTCAGGCAAGAAATGAAGGCAGTTGGGTCCAAGATGGCAGAGGTGGAGGTGGAAGAGGGTTTGGGTTCTTGACATACACAGAAGACAGAAGCAACAGAAAGCCAGTGTAAACAGAGTGGGAACTTAGTGCTATGAAGCCCTGGTCCCTTCAGTATGCTTCAACCTTTTTTGTAAAGTTTGCCCCCAAAAAGAGATGTGCTTGTATTATTTTTAAGAAGCCCTATCCCCCATTGTATGCACTTCGCGTCTAGCAAACCTTGGCTTTTGCCCCTGGGTGTAAGACTCAAGAGAGGCAAAGGTGATCTAGGATTTGGGGCTTTAACAACCGATGAATAGAGTTGCCATTTTGTTGGTCACCTATGAGACCTGCCTGGTCTTCACCCTTTTATATCCAAATTGTTCCATATCAGAATTTTCCTCTCGATATTTCCTTGGGACTCACTTCTTCCCACTTTCGTTGGCAACTCTGTGTCCAGGGAAATTGGATGGCGTGTGTTCTGTAAGCATGGCCATTAACATATTTCACATTTAATACACATCAGACGGTTCCTACTCTTCTCCAGGGGACCTGGGTTCCTACCAAAAATATTTCAACTGCTTCACCCCACCCTCGCATTGTAGACTCTTTCCAAAGCTTGAGGTTTGAATTTGGGCACTGGTGATTTCCAATTTGACAATAATGGCTTTAAGAGAGTTGGCAGGGAAATGGAAATGTTTTAATTACAGCTTTCAGTATGTTTATTCTTTTTCCTCTGAAGACTGAAGTCCACCCACTTTGTTGTATGAGATGGCTAACTCCCAGTTTCAAAGTCCATTTAAATCATAAAAGCAGACTTATTCAAAGTCTTTTATTAAAATGAGGCGAAAATTAGAGAGTCAACCAGAGGGTTAGGTGGAATGGCAGCATGATGGCCAGAAATATCCTTTTCTTTTTCCTCTGATTATCTTTTCAGAAGAAACATGAAGCATATTCCACAACCGGAGATATTCAGACTCCAAAACCCACACAAATACAAACACACTTACACATGCACGGATGCTCTCAGACTCTACTTGAAGGAGCTTGGGAGAAAAAGAAATGAGGGTATAAATTTGGAGGCTATTGTGACTAGCTCTTACAATACCTAAGAGAACAGAGAGACAGATACAAAAGACGCTGGCAAGAATGTCACTTTCCCCGGTGATTATTGGGTTCATTTTGCCAAATCTGGCTGATTAGATGACTTTTCTATGAGAAGCTCCAGATTCTGTTAAGAGTGTCTTTTTTTCTTTTTCTAGATAAAGGAGGATCATTCTTTGATCCTATATATGAGTAAGTGGCTGCTGGAACTACAAAAAAAAATCATAATAATTAATAAAATGCAATTGGTTCTAAGTTCTGTACAGGCTTCTAAGGACAAACGTTTTAGGAGGTGATGCATTGTCATTTGGGACCCGGGAACTGAACGGGACAAAGTACCAATCTCTCCAGTCCCAGAAATACCTTTTCATATGCCCCAGGGATTCTGGTATCATCACCCACTGTTCACCCCACAAGAGACTTAGATGTGACCATCTTTGGGTCTGTCATTGTCCCTGCCAAATGGCTTTGCAGGTCTCTGATGGATGGGGAGGTGATGGTCTGTGCTCTCATGCTATTCATCTCCTTGTCCCTGTCACGGGGAAATTTATGATTAGTAAGCACTTTCACCCTTTTTCACAGACACAGCAAAACACTTTTTTTCTGTTTTGGTTCTAGAATGTTCTTTGCTGCAAATGTCTAAATGAGCTTACACCACTTTGGGGAAAGGTTGATAATGTGAGCAATGAGAAGTCATTTATTAAAAAGTGGATACATATTGAGGTGCAATGGAATCAAAGCTACTTGGTTTTTTAAAAATTATATATTGTACATCCTGAAAGATTCCTGTATGTGTTGAAAGATTATCTTCACAAAACTGTTTAAAATAAGGAATGATGAGAACTAAGATACAATATAGAAAAATCATGATGTAAACGTAAATGAAAACAAACTGCATAGGGTACAGTATGATTATAGCTATAGAAAATAATAGATTTACATAGGAAATGACCCTAGAAGAACAAGAAGAAAAAGGGAAATTTTATTCAGACTTCTTCAAAACCAAACAAAGAAAACCACTTGATTGCTGAAGTCAATCAAAGCTATATTAATAGCAAGAGCAGAAGTTATTTGCCTAAACTTGACCTTTCTTTGTGACAAGGTGAAGTTTCATTCTGCAGTTCTCTGATCACAGTGACACTATGACTATATTGTTCAGATGACTGTCATATTCAGCAGATTTTTCTTCCTATTTGTGGGCAATTAAGAAACCAAACATTGGATCTGGAATTCTTTTTTTCTTTCTTTCTTTTTTTTTTTCTTTTTTTTTTTGAGACAAGAATCTCACTCTGTTGCCCCGGCTAGAGTGCTGTGGCATCAGCCTGGCTCGCAGCAACCTCAAACTCCTGGGCTCAAGTGATCCTTCTGCCTCAGCCTCCCGAGAAGCAAGGACTACAGGCATGTGCCACCATGCCCGGCTAATTTTTTCTATATATTTTTAGTTGGCCAACTAATTTCTTTTTTAGTAGAGATGGGCTCTCGCTCTTGCTCAGGCTG